GGGTACGACTTTGCTGTGCTTTTTTCCCCCTCTCTTCCCCCTCCCGGAACGTCTTACGTTGCGATAATTGCGCGTTTCCGCACGTCGTAGCACCGACGACCGGAAGCTGCCGCGTTACCACGGTTACCGAGGGCCCGAGGCTTTTGTTGACAGCTTGCGCCGCTTGCTTTTTTAAACGAAACTCGGTCAACGAAGAGCCGCGAGGGCGACGTTAACCTCCGACGAAGCTGCACAGAGACGGCGAAGAGACCGAGCTCGCGCACGCGCGCTGAAACAGCGGCAGCAGCGGTTACAGCCTCGATAGGTGGTGGGGTGCGTTTAACCTCGAGTCAATGTCGGGTGAGTTGAAGAGTCGACGGGACTTGGGGAGACTCGCGTTTGTTGCTCATCACGCCGTGTCTCGCACTCTACCAGAAGACACGCAACACTCGCTTCTGGTATCGGCATGGCCGGGAAGAGTCCGTGGGACGGTCGGCGTCGAGTGGAGACGCAGAAGGCAAATAGTGTCGGGACGGCGACCGCTGTTGACTTGCCACCTCGGGGCTGGTGAGATCGACTAAATAAATAAATCTGAAACGTGCTTGAATGCCGTCATGTTAATATTACAACAGTGCTATGTTTATCCGGAAGAATCTCATTTATAGATTGTTGGTTGGGGGAGGCGGGGTCTGGAGAGCACTGCCTTGGAATGTTTGACCAATTCCTTCATAAGTGATTTTGGAACCGAGAGGAAAGCTCGAATCAGTTGAATAAACCCCACACCTAACAAGAGGATGACCACAATATGGGACCTTTCTTGCCAGTATCAAAATATAACAATAGGGTTTGCCCTTTATGGCAATAAAACAGGTTTTAAGATGTTAAACACCAAACAATATTTTTTCAAGGAATCCTGTCTGCATTAACCACACGTACTTGTGGTCAACATGCAAACAAGAAACATGCTCTGATAGGTGATTACCACAACATTCCTTACAGATTGGTGAGCAACAAGCGTTATTTCCTGTAAAGCTTGTATTTATTTTAACAAAAACGTCTGTATCTCAAGACGAACAGAAAAAGCAAGCCCATGCCCACGATTAATCCCTGGGAAAAGGCAAGAATTTCTGTTGGTGAAGTTTGAGAGACTGACAGAGCAGGGTCCTGGGGAATTATATTTTTGACCAAGACATTCGGACACAGTATAGTACTGTTAATATGTCCGTCACTGTAGTATCGTTGATGAAAAGCCATCTTAGATTAGATTATCAGGTTGGGAGTTCAACAGCAGACCATGAGATCTGCATGATTCACCAACCCTGCAGCTACTGATATTCTGCGTTTTATAATACGTAAAGTTTGGTTATTTTATGAGGATCATCGTTGCGTTATTGGGTCCCAGGCCTTTGTGTGAAATTGCTGTGAATGTATCTCGGAAGCTAAACATGTTTGAACCTGGTTCTCTGATGGGCGACAGCCTGGGAGTAACCAGGTGGTGTAGGCTTCGGCTTTGAGGGAGGCAGATGGCAGTCTAGCATTGGATTCTTGACTCTATGCAGAACGTTGCATGTTACACTTTCATGCTGGAGTTTATACCCCATACCAATGAATCATGTGTGAAATTGACAAAGCATCCTAATACAGGACTCTCATACCTGTCAACCCCTTATCAGTGCCTACCTTATTACAGACCAATTAAGATCTTATTGGTCACTCCGTGCCCCTTACAAATCTCAACGTTCATCCTACAAAGTCACATCACAAGGGAGAAACACAAATAGACAAAAAATTGCCCATATTGAAACGGCTGCACGCTGTATGGACCTGAAAACTCAATTTCTCTGTACAATTCGGGTAAATCACTACTTAAAAAGTCTTGAGTCAAAAAGTGAGGCATTCCTCGTTAAAGGGCATTACATAACTACGTATATTAATATTTTCCCATCAAGTAATTTGTTGTAATCGGTAAATATGTTATGAAATTATGTTTTATAAGTGGTGTTGTGTTTTTTTAGGGCCAGTTATATTAAGTGGTTCATATGTCTTCCCCAATGGAGACAAATACGGTAAGCACAAATACCTCGCATGTAAATGTAAGTTGCCTTACACCATGTGTTATTTCTCTACTCATTTTAAATACACCTTGAGAACTGTTTAAACATTTTCCTCCCATCTGACTCATCATTCTTAGGATCCATCAGACACACCCAAGTATGTCATGCTCATGCAATTTGAATGACTAACATAACATACACAAAATACACTCATTGTTTCTATGACACATGACAATCCTACAAAACATAAATTATGGTTTTATGGTATGGTGGGCGTTGTGCTATTTTTTGCTCATCTATGGTTTAAATTATTTGATTAATTTTTAAAACCTATATTATGGATGATTAATCACATACAAACTTGACGATTGTATACAGTATGTGAGAGTTCACTGAGACGACTATTTTGCAAGAGAGACTTCGAGCACAAAGTACAGCCCAACATTGTAGTGCAGAAAAATGCATTCGAAAGATGAGATTTCTTATTAAAGAACATTGCTATAGTTGCCTGCATAATTGTGTGGGTATAGAAAATCTTAAGGAAATTGTTCGCAAGACTTCCCCAAAGTGTACTCAATTTGTCTGTGTTTGAAGAATTATCCACAGTTCATAAACATTTGTTCCTTTCTGAATGTATCTGTGAGCTACATGACCCTGAGCTTACAGAGAGATTAGGAAGGGCTGATGGCAGAGGTAAAAATATATTTGGACCAAACCTGCCACAAAGCTGCTTTGCCCACATATTACAATTATGTTTTGACTTACACTGTAGGATCACGGTATTATTTGGAGATCAATGATTTCCTTGGGGCAACAGTTCTATACACATCTTGCAGAGGGTGAGTACAGCAAGAGTGAGGATGGTGTGATGGAGCGACATGGCACTGGGACGCATCGCTCGGCAGGGGGCAGTATCTACACAGGCCAGTGGAAATACGACAAGGTGAGCACTTGGTTCTTTTGTAAATAATAGTACCCTGAACCTGTAGTCTTGTTCGCAAAAATCACTGCTCTTTTCTCTAGCATATGGCTGAATACCAACATTAGTATACGTCCAGATTATTCGGGAAATAGCTTCCTTTTATGAGCGGTGCATTGATTGAAATTTTGGAGATCAGTGATTCACAATATGGTTGATGAGACATGCGAATTAAATGCAGGCAATTGTTTTGGAGATAAATTCTGGAGATCTTTAGTGGATCAGTGATCGGAGGCTTATTTGGAATAACAGTGTTCGTAAAAATAGTGATATGTCCAAGGTGCTAAAGAATTAGAAGGGCTTGAGCTGCACCCAAGCATTATTTGCACAATTGCAGGCATTTGCTAGATGTTAAAATGAGCTTGGAGTCTGATCAGAAGTGACTTGATTTAAAAATGCAAAACATGCACATGTTTTATCCGAACAATGCCACAGATGGAGGGGACTGGACGGCTGGTTTACCTGTCGGGAGCCGTGTACGAGGGAAGTTTCCACGACAATATGTACCATGGCACAGGCACCTACACGTGGCCCAGTGGGGTGAAGTACATCGGAAGCTTTCAACACAACAAGTAAGCAATAACAGTAGGCCAGGATTATTGACCTTTGTGCTGGGCATGCTATGGCACATGGCCCAGCTCTTTTGAGCCTGTTTATGATAGTTCAACTTTCCAAAAGAACTCCAACCTGCTCTCTCCTGTACCTTTGTGTTTTTTTAATCTCATAGTCTTTGTCTCCATAACTGATCTGGTATACATGTTCTGCTGGTTTCCAGTTGTGTCCCTCCAACAGATATCTCCATTTATTACCAATCTTGTTGTACATGACTTATGTTGTACATATTTATCTCAAACCCAACTGTGCAGCCTTCTTTGGTAATTCTAAAATTTCCGCAGGTAATTTTCATTGGACATGTCATCAGCAAAATCTGACATGATTTTTTAAATTATATTTCTAAACTAGCTTCGACGTTACATTTTTTAGTCCTGCCCATCTGGGCCTCATTAACAGGTGGTGCATAGGAATGTGGAAAGAATTCAAACTCTGTGTGCTCAGCATGCACATAATTCAGCGTTGAACAAAATACACATTACCAGTCCTATAATACATATATAGATCTTTGGAAATGCTGCCCTATTAAATATTCAAGAAAGCTTTCCTCCAAATATTTGTCCAGAAGTCTTTTCTTTAGTAGTCGACAGTGTACAATGAGTTAAATGACAGTAGTCAGCTTGTAGTTCTGCATATCATGAAAAGACCAAAGGCAATGTTTTACCATGGCACACTAAGCAGTTCGCCAGTAACAACAGTGGCAAAACGTATTTTAAAATGTTTAATTGAGTAGTAATACACATGTGAAAGTCTGGAGGCTCATTACGAGATTATAATTTCATTCAGAAAAAATAAAGAGACGTGTGCAGGTTACTGTTTGAACTCGTTTACTTGTGTTTCTTTGCTGCAGGCTAAAAGGGGAAGGTATGTTCACAGACACAGAAGGACAAGAGTGGACAGGGATGTTCCACAAAAAGGCTGCACCAGGCCTCAAGCTCAAACTCAACATGGGATGACTGCAGTCGTGAAAAGCATGTCCCTTTGCCATTATTACACCTGAAATGAAGTGGGCACCTTTGGAACATTTTAAAAATGACAGTGTAATGGAAATCTACATTTACATTTGGTTATAGAAAAGCACCCGTATGCTCAATGATGAATTTCAAAGAATGTAAAAGTTTATTTTATTTATTGCAAAATACATTATGAACCAAAAATAAAGAAACAATGGATGAAACGTGGCTCATGAGATGCTTATCCGTGTCAAAACAAACCTTCAAGCACAACCGTGTACAGTAAAACCTTGGATTGCGAGTAACTTGGTCTGCGAGTGTTTTGCAAGATGAGCAAAAATTTCAGATAAATATTAATTTCATAAACGAGCGAGGTCTTGCAATACGAGTAGTACGTATATGCTTTGTATGCTGAGCGTCACGTGATCACAACTGATATACGAGTGCTTTGATGTACGAGTGCTTTGGATTACAAACACGTTTCCGGAATTAAGTATGCTCGCAATCCAAGGTTTTACTGTACATTGAAATACCCCTCAGTCAACAGACTTTAAAAAAATGTAAATCAAGAGAACACTCTCAAAAATGTACAACTGCCACTGACTGCTCCCACTATGCCCAATTTGCAGTTACATATTTTCACAACAATTTATATACAAAAAGGCTTATATGGATATGGTCCCTTGGCCGCGCTGCATGTAAGGTGACGTGTCAATTGCAGAGCTTGCGCAAGTGCAAGATGTTGATGTCGTCGCTGCAAAACTCCTGGTCGTGATTTTCCACGGGGATTTTCTCCACCTCAAACTCTTGCTCTATCAGCTGTGCCACACACAGTTTGAGTACAATTAGTTACGTGGACTAAATATGTGCACACACTTGTACAGGGGTTTTCAAAAAATGCAACTTCTAGGTTTGCATTAATCTGTATTGATTTAAACCGACTTATGCTCGTAATACTGTACATGTATCAATTTGTGCGTTATAAACATTTAATATTGCTGATGAATGTACATTGCAAATTCTATGTTTAACTTACATTAATGCTAATGTGGTGAACAATGTTTTATACCGTAGCTCCTGCTTCTTGAATACAGAAAAATACTAATCTGATCAAAATACAACTTCTTACACAATTTACTGGGTTATCAATTAAACCCAAAGGTATTACAGGATAAATTTTGACTTAAAACTTTCGTGACTGCAGGAATTAATATTCTTTGGTTCTTTCGGTAAAGTCACGTAGGTAAAGTCGCATAGATAGAAAATAATAAAAATAAAGTGAATAAAAATATAAAAAGAACCAAAGAATATTACAGGATTGTTGTGGATCACAGACCACACCAAGATTAACCAAGGCCACATGTAAACATACACACGCACTTCACCTGTATAAATCTGCTCTGTATTAGTGGATTGCGTCCTGCTGTACGCTCTTCATAGCAGCAGATCACAAGGGTGTTTGGCCCGGACAGGGCACCAAGAGTCCTTACCAGTGGCTCCAGAGACTTAAAAAAGGACAACACTTTCTGGTAAAGATACAAAACCACGCTTGCACAAAAAGCATCCGTAAGACAACTTTATCGGAGAGGTGTTTGTCAAGTACAGTGTCACCATTTTAATTTTGTAGCATGTCAAGGCATCTCAAGACACGAAGGAAACCATACACACATTAATAGATCTGTTTATATTTAGATGTCCATCCAGATTCTAGCAATCTAATGTAAATAGTCATACCTCCGTATACGACCGCTTTGGAATACGTCGAATTTGGTATATGTCGTGTTTTGACGAGAAAAAAATGTCTTGTGATACGACGTCTTGCTTGGGATACAACGTGCTTGCTAGGGATACAACGTGCTTGCTAGAACTTGTATGGGTCGGGATGAGTCGCCGCGGACCCGCGTAGACCCCGTTAATGACTGAAACAAAGCGCCGCTACTCAGTCTGCCTGTACAGTAGATCTCGTTCAGTGCACAATCTTTGCTATAGCTCTGTGAATTTTCACGTGTTTTTTGTCATTTTAATTTATGTATTCATTTTGGTAATAAGTAGCTTCTACATTATGTTATTCAACCCCATTAATGTATAATATGCCATATAAAATATAATTTCTCATACTCTGCAATGGATTATTTCCTTTCCCTTTATTTATGGGAAAAATTCATTTGGTATTCGTCATTTTCGGTATAAGTCCTACCTTCTGGAACGAATTAACGACGTATACCGAGGTACCACTGTATTCAGTTCCTGAAGAGGCTCCCAGAACGTGCAGTGAAATGTCAGACATACCGGACAATACGAGGTACAACCCGAAAACATGAGCCAGCAACAGCATAACTGAGAAATATTATGCAGTAGCAAAGCCGAATTATATGAAAACATCAGATACATAAACAATAAAACTAGCATTACACTCAAATTCAGATTATGAAGCATAGCCCTGCAGATGGTGAATTGTACAATTAGTCATAACATCTAAATATAACCCCTTACCTAATTAAATGACTGAGTTGAATTATGTTACTTATGCCTGTACTAATATGAAAACCTGTGAATGAGCATGTCATTGATGGCAGTTATCTGGCCATTACCTGTTCATAGTAGATGCAGTCAGCCATGAGTATGTAATCAGGATGAGGAAGAAATTCTTCTATACTTTTGCCCCTGTGAGGGAAAATGTTCACAAGTTTAAGAACTAGAGTATTTAATAAATGTTGTTCAAGTAAAGAACATTTACATCACTGGTAAAATAAACCACATATCCTCAACAATAAAGTATTTTTTTTCTATTTTAATCAAAAGCAACTTGTTCAGTCTTCATAAGCTATTCTAAAATTTATCTTGGACCTCTTATTCGCTGCAGTGATATCAGCATTATCATTTATGATGTAAGCAGATGTTGTTCCTTGCAAGATCTGAGCCCTTTGAGGAGATTGACATTACATGAGCACATTTAAATACGGTAGTTCATTCAAGTAAACAATACGATAAAGAGCATTTACGAAATATCTTAGCGATTTTAAGGAGGCAAAAATGCCATACAGACCATTCGAGTACCTTGGCTTGTGCCCTGCCCTTCAACAATGCAGAGTTGTCCTTGATGTTTGTCTCAATCAGGTCCATGAACTGTGGGAGATCCGTGAGGGTCACGTAGGCCCTGCACAAACACAAAGAGTGGAATCATGTATTGTAATTTCAACCTTGTAGAAAATGTAGTATATAGTATAATATTACAGCACACTTACACTATTGTGCAAGCCTCACTCAACTTAAAACAAATATCAATTAGAAGGATGGGCAACTAATTCCAGATTGGCCACGCGTGGTGGCGTACGACTTGAGATCCAGGGATTTGTGGATCACGCATACTTGCGTTGCGATGTTGCCAGATGATGTCAGTACAGAAAATGTGTGAATGAACCAATCTGTAGATATTTTAGTGTTATCCCCTCGTGTTTTTCTCTGGGTACTCTAAGAATTGGCCAATTATTAAAATGCAGAAATATAAAATCTAGCCTTGAGGCTTAGTTAGGCTTTCTTGGATACGTTATTATATTAATGCGCAACGTCCAGCATCTGACTCAAAACCAACAAGGAAGATTAAACTTACCCTTTGGTTCTATTCGGTAAAGTCACGTAGGTAAAAAACAAAATAACAAAAAGATTAAACTTGCCTTGACTCGAGACCTTGGATCGACAACCAAAATAACAAGAGACATTTTTTTCGAATTCGGTGAAAAAAACACTCAATATAATATCGATATTGGTCGGCAGATTGCCGACCCCTGTCCTGGACATATTGATAAATAGACAACCATTCATGATGGCTTGTAACAGGATGTGTGTGTGTGTGAAGGGTTAAGTGGCTTTAACTCCTGGAACTGTGCTATAACTGTGCTGTCCAGGTGAGGTCCCAATAAAGTTGTGTACAGCCCCCCGGTTCAATAGGGCCGTTTCAACACCGAGACAACGACATCCAGACATACCTAGAGACAGAAACACAGCGAGGCAAAACAATAGTGAAGCGGAGACGTCGAGACACAACTTGATAGTGAAAAAGATACGTGACCAGGGGTACGGAGTGACAGGCGAAAGAGAGACGCAGCGGCGGATAGAGGCGGCGGATACAATGCCCGTCAGGCAATAACATCCCGACAACACCTGTGTCAGGCTCGGTGTTACCGTTGAGGCTACGGGGATACACAACAAGAATTACTTCATCGTCTATATGCATCCGATTTTTGTCATTCGTTTTACGCTGGTCTCCACGTGGAATGCCGAATGATCGCTGGCAGGTTCACGGGACCAACACACACACACAACAATACCGTCATGTAACATCACGAGTGACAAAGACATTGTAACAAGAGAAACAACGCCTTCCACCGACAGCGGGGAGTAGCAAGTCATCACCCCCGTGTAACGACCCCCGTGGGCTCCATCCCCTCAGCCAGTGTTCATCGTTGCGAGGCCCGCGGGCCACTGGAGCCACCCCCTCATTGCCTTTAGGGAGGCCCCTGACGTGCGGCCCCCGACAATACACAAAGAGTGACCCCCCCCATCATCGTCGTGCCGCTGTCAAATCCCCTCCAACTGGTTTCAAACGTGTGGCGGCCCTCACACTGATGATGTCTTATCGGCGAAACTTGCCCTCCCCCCTAAACATGAGCGACGAACACCGTTCTACGGGTTCATGCATCTCGATCCTTACCCGCAGCTCGCAGCCACGAGACCCACGGCCCCGGTCCCAGCTCCTAGCTCCAGGACCCTGCGGCCACGCAAACAGCTGCGCTCGCCCTCTCCTCCTCGCAGGCGGAAGGCGTCCGTCTCGAGGTACTTGGCCAGCACGATGGCTGCGTCCCACACCACACAGCCCACGTCGCCGACGGCTCCCTGCCTGATCCACACAGGGCCTCCTCCGTCCCTGCGCTCTATGGAGCGAGGCAGCAGCCACACGCTCTCCTCCTCCATGCCGGCTCCACGTGTGCCGGGCGGGTCAGGGGCGTCACTTGGCGCGAGTCAGCGAACTCCGACGGCCATCTTAGGTGGGGACATTGCAAAGACTTATTTACGTAGGGAATTGAGAGGCCATCTTAGGTGGGGACATTGCAAAGACTTCTTTATGTAGGAAATTGAGAGGGCATCTTAGGTGGGGAATTGAAAGAGCTTCGGTAGGTAAGGAATTGAAAGGGCTTCTAAGGTAGGGAATTGAAAGAGCATATTACGGTAGATACGGACGTCATTGTACAGTGTGGTACAGATGTCTTGTGATCCCCATTTAATTATCTCAAACTTATTTTTTACAGCAAAGTTTATTTAAAACATAAATGAATGTGCAAATGAGAAACATTATTTTGGGGTCAATTAATTTGACGTCACAAGACATCTGGACCACCCATGGTTAGTGAGGAGCGCTGTGCTACGAACCACCCGCGTTCGATGACCACTCAGGGCCACACCACCAACAGTGACGATTTATCTGAACCGGTCGTGAGCCTCCCCTGGGTTGACTCGGCCTCAAATAAGTACCGCAGCCGGTGCGGTGTGCGGTAAGCATCGCCACTGGGGAGACAAAGGCGGTGGTCGGGCGTGGTGCTGGCCACCTCGTCGTACCATTGCCACTCTTCATACTGCTCTAGAGGAGTTGTACAACCCTAGCTGCCACTGCTATTCAGTGGCCTAAAATATGGCTCTAGGGTTTGGTGTTATAATTTATTTATGTAGTTTATTGTAAAAAATTCGGTCACAGTCCCTATGATCACTGTTACATTGCATTTATGGCTTTTATTTTGGTGATTTCGAAAAGTTTTTTTGGTTTGGCTATGTTTTTGTTTATTGTAGTACGGAGTTGGACTGATGGCCTAAATCTTAGTTGTCTTGTGGTTGTTGTTGTTTGACTTGCATCCCACTGGGATTTTTGCACACAGCGTTGGTGTACGGTGCTATTTCAGAAATATTTCGATGTTTTTTTCCTGGATTTTCTGTTTTACACAGTCACGTAATCACTTTAAGATGTTTTCTTGTTCATGTTTTTGGTTTGTTGCGGTTGCACCCGATTCAAGAGCCGAATGGCTCACAGGGCTATACCAAATAAATGGAAATGGAAGTGTCCCATAAGTCTCGAATAATGGGGGTAAATAACAAATTCATATTTCCCTGGTCATTGGCAAGGACGACGTCGAGGGCCTGTGGAATGGCCATCGAGAAGCCCCGATCTCACACCACTGGACTTTATTAATCTCTGGGGTCACTTGAAGGCGCTGGTCAACGCGGAGAAAGCTTCGGAGTGCTTCAAATCTAGAAAGTTCAAGAGTGTTTCAAATCTAGAAAGTTCAAGAGTGTTGAACATTTGCGGCAGCGCATTAATTGACGCACGTTAACAACCATTAAACCTGGTAAACATTTTTCCGTGTGCCTGCTGACTTGGGTTATCTCGACTGGAGTTGAGTATGAGGAACGATGGGGTAGAGACACGTTGAGCACGTTTCTGTGAATAAAAGCGTTACTTGCCTTGTTTTGTGTTATTGTTTTCCTGACCTCCACACTTAATGGGACGCCCGAGAGGGTTGCTGTCTTTGCTTGAGCGTCACAGACTTTACTGACACGCGTTTCTTTAAGGTTACTTTCCTTCGTGTTGTATTTCCGCTACGGCACCGCGTTATTCACAGCCCTTTTGTCAATCCACTGCTGGATGAACGCCTGTCCACGACGCTGTGTCGTGGGGGGGTCGTTCGACCATACTTCACCACGCTGGTCAATGCCATTTGAGTTGAAGCAGGGTGGAGAGAGACGGGTGCCCCAAGCAAGACATTGTTCTTTGGTTCTTTCGGTAAAGTCACGTAGAATGAGAATAAAACAATAGATTAATAAAATAACAAAATTCTCACGACGTTTCGGCCACAACACAAGTGGCCTTCAGGTGAAAGGAACAGACCTTCATTGAAGATCTGTCGTCCCGACAGGTCTGTTCCTTTCACCTGAAGAAGGCCACTTGTGTTGTGGCCGAAACGTCGTGAGAATTTTATTGTGTTATTTTATTAATTTATTATTTTATTCCCATTCTACGTGACTTTACCGAAAGAACCAACGAAGATGAATCCTTGCAGTCACGAAAGCTTTAAATCGAAATTCAAGACATTATTTTTAGATATCACTCGCCCGCTGTTGGTTATAGTTGAACTCATGCGAGCCGGATTCCTACTGCTGAGTAATTTAAAATAGTTTATATCGGACGCAAATCTGACAGCGAGTAAGATGACAAGTTGAGAGCAGCACACGCGGTGAATAAGCGAATTAAATTACCTTGCATTACTGTTCAAGGTGGTCTAGATGTCTTGTGACTCCCAATGAATTGACCCCTGATACTCGTTTACTTTTGAATTTCCGTGTCAGTTTGAAATACACATTGCCTTTTAAAAAAAATAAAAATAAACAAGTTTTAGAGATTTAAAGCCTTCGTGACTGCAGGGATTCATATTCTTGGTTCTTTCGGTAAAGTCACGTAGAAGGGAAACGATGAAATAATAATATAAAACAATAAAATTGTCTTGCTGTGGTTTTCACACCTGATGATGATTTGCTTGTGTTGCAGTCGAAACGTGAGAATTGTATTGTTTTATATTTTTATTTTATTGTTTCCCTTCTACGTGGTGACTTTACCGAAAGAACCAAGAATATGAATCACTGCAGTCACGAAAGCTTTAAATAAAATTTTAAGTTTTAGAGAGTTAAAAGGGGGGGGTCACAAGACATCTGGACCACCGTGTACAGTAGTTTGAACTTCAGCATCGTCGTGGCATTCACCGTCGCCACCTTAACGTCGTAAGCGCTGTGTACAGTCGTTGTACGTCACTTTCATTCAGAGTTTTAATCTTCAACGTTAAGTTTTAAATAAGCTATTTTATGAGCGTTGCAGATAATTTGCACCAAACTGTGGCAAAAAAAAACCGTGTACAGTATATATTGTAGTAATCTTCATTGGTAGTGCAGTATATTCGGTGATTATATTTTTTAGTAAAGTAGTTCACTTTACGTAAACATTGATTAACGTGCACTGGATTAGCTTTCCTTGCTTTATCTTTTACTTGAATGCGGCAGTGTACGACGTGAACACGTGTACGTTTTGTCGCACACTTAAACCACAACCGAAACGTGAATACAAATGCCAAAGATTTCCGATGCAAAATCCTCTTTAAAAAGGTCTTGGGACTCGGCGAGCCTCTCCTGGATATATAATTACAAGAATTATGATTGTTATCGTATCTTTATTGTTGTCCGTTCTTTAGGCCCGAAAGCGGAGCCACGGATTTTCCTGAATTCCCCGCAGGCGAGGGTCGCTGTCTCCCGGCACGGGGAAGCGGGGGGTGGGGGGTGGACGGAGAACCATGATCTGCGTTATTTTGGTAGCAGGACACGGCACGCTGTTGGAAAATGAAATTAAGGTAATGCGCGAATTGAGTTCCTTCTCCGCTTTTGCTGCGTGGTTAATTGCACTGACCGACTTGTAAATATCAGGGCGCACGAGAAAGTCCCCATGCCCCTGCCCGAACGGCTGTGAGTGTTTATGTTTGTGGGTAAGGGTGTAAGGGGACTTGTCGTCCACCCTGTAAGGGCAATCTCAACGGAGAGAGTGTGACATCCTGTCGTACGAATGTGGGGGATTCTTTATTTAATAACCGATATTACAATATGTAAAGGCACAAACTGAATGTCATGAGGGACCCTTAGGCTTTGCCCTCCACCCCCCAGTCACTTTTTTTTTTACTTTATCAAGTTTACTCAACGATAAAAGCTACATTGTATATTATAAAAATTGTATTTAAAGCTTTCGTGACTGCAGGGATTCATTTTCTTGGATCTTTCGGTAAAGTCACGTAGAAGGGAAACAAAATATTTTTTATATTTGTTTTTTATTGTATATTATTAGTTTACCTTAAGTCTTTCGCCACCAATACTCAGTCACCTGTGACCTCACCATGTCTAGTTTCCCCAAGTCTAAATCAAAACCAAACTCTTAACGCCAAAAATCGGAAGAGTTTATGTCTTCAAACCCCATAATACAATTCTGATGTAATGTGAATTCATGTAAATTTATATTAATTGTTCATATACAAATTCACAACTGTTTACATATTTACTTTCTTAATTGCAAGTATTTTCAGTACACTACAATCTAAATAACGTATAACGTGAGTCAATCTCTCTGCCCACTCTGCTCTGAAGAAGGGCCATTGCTGAACACATCAGCCTGCTATATATTTTTTATTCTCTAAAGCAATGCTATTAACAGATGTCGTGGGTTTTTTTTATTTGCGTAACCATTAAAAACCTGCAGCACTGCTTTATTGTGACTAACATCCTGTAATCACTCATGTGTCCTGGCTGTTTTTACGTCTGCAGAGAGACACGAGTGGGCTCTTTGCCCACTTGGAAGGGGTGCCAAAAGCCCTCTTGCCTGGTGTGGGCGGAAAGAAAATACTGGACTTCTGGTGGGAAGCACTACGCACGTAAGTTGCTCACATCTGTTCGTCCGTCCATTCAATCTAGTCACTGCTCTATATATCATGTGGAACAGGTGACCTATACAAGAACAATGATGTTTTCTCATCCAGCATTGTATGCCATAGAGGCATCTTCCTCTCTGATATTTATAGAAATACATTTGGATGCATGTGGCAATTATGTAAACTCACATGTCCCCGCTTTTCCACCTGTTTTCTTTCTATTGGCAGTGTTGTATCCTATTTTGACACCCACTGTTAACCTTCAATCTGCAGTGTTTGTGAATTTTTTTCCATAATTGAGGTCAATATGTTGTTGTGGCCAATGTCGTAGCTGCCATGTACCCTTATTTCCTTCTGTTAGATCCTGTAGATTTTGCAAAGTCAACACAACACTGCCATAGTCTTACAATATCCACCATCTGGTTTTAAGTCTTCCTCTAGGTCACCGACCAGTGGTGGTTGCCACTCCAATGCCTGTCTCTGTAACCTGCGCTCCTCCATCCTGCACATGTGGCCCATCCATCACAACCTCCAGTGTACATGTACAACACTTTCTTGCCATATTCTTGGTTCTTTCGGTAAAGTCACGTAGAAGGGAAACAATAAAAATATAAAACAATAAAATTCTCACGATGTTTCGACTGCAACACAAGCAATCATCATCAGGTGTGAAAACCACAGCAAGAAAATGTGGTTTTCACACTTGACGATGATTGCTTGTGTTGCAGACAGCAAGAAAATGTGGTTTTCACACCTGATGATGATTGCTTGTGTTGCAGTCGAAACGTCGTGATAATTTAATTTTATATTTTTATTATTTTATTGTTTTCCTTCTACGTGACTTTATGAATCCCTGCAGTCACGAAAGCTTTAAATCAAAACTTTCTTGCCACTTATATTTCGGACTTACAATTACTTCTGTTTTACAGTATATTCCTAACATCCTCGTAAAAAGCACCTCAAAATGCACTTACCACCCACTCACACCCACGCCCACTGCCTTCCAGATTTAAACATTTTGAGTGCTGGGCATTGGCCAGTGAGTTTCCTGTTAAAACCATTCCTTGAAATATCACAAATTTTATTTGTTGGAGTTTAACAATTTCCAATAACAGTGGGAACTGAAGGGGCATGTGTGCTGTGTTATCATTACATGTTGGTGTAATGTTTGGCATGCGCCACCATCACTCCAGCGGTGGTGGCGGCGCATGCCTGTAATCCAACACTGGAGTCGAGGGTTGGCGGATCGCACAAATGTTGTGGAACTCCCTTCCCGTGGGTGTTGAAGTGCTATACCCTGGCTTGGCCAGGAGAAAGCGGTACAGCAAAAGGTGAACTCCACCTGTCCCATCTGTATGGGCTAAGAGTGATTTCCCCCTCGCATGTGTGGGTTTTCTTCAGGTGCTTCGGTTTCCTCCCACAAATAAACACTCATTAATTGGCTGATAACACCTGCCTTCTTGCTTGTCTGCAATTCCTCGTGCTTCTGAGTTTTTTTTTTCTTCAAGAATGAGTCAACCAATACTCTGCACGTTACAAGTTGGAATTATATTATTACATTGGTGTTCTCTAACCATTATTGTGAAACTCACTTTTTAGGAGGCAGTTGTTCAGTGAGGTGTACATGGTGACAAATGCTGACAAGTAGGTGACATAAAATTTACTTTCATTCATCATATTTTCAGAAATTCTCTTGAAGATTTCTCCTTTACTAATGTTGGCCTGTAATTTATTATCTCTGTTCAGGTTCCATTTATTTTTCTCAACAGAAACACATATGGGAGATTTTTTTTCTGTATCTTCAATAACAATCAACAAATTACATCTAAAAAACCGTCGCCAAATGCACTTGCCACCCACTTACTCACACACCCGCTGCCTTCCAGATTTAAACATTTTGAGCGCTGGGCAACAGCCAATGAGTTTCCTGTTAAGAACATTGTGAATGATGGGAGCAGCGCAGAGGGCACGCGGCTCGGGGCCGTGGCAGACTTCCACTTGGCCGTGCGCACCAAGGCCATCGACGACCATGTCTTGGTGGTGAGATGGTGGGGACACATCTTCATTTACCATCGTCACTATTTCCCGAACGCTGGTCACTACAGGTAGGTGAAGGCGGGAAGAACAGACGTAGGAACACAGAAGTCCACTACAACAATGGATTTTGGTACACTTTCCTCTACTGCCCACCAAACAGCCTTGCAGTCTGTAGGCTATAACAGCTGTCATATATGATGGTCACTCATCCAAATACGTGCTATCCAGGCTGAAACTAGCTTAGCTTCCTAGATCTGAAAAGATCAGCTGCATTCAAGGTTATTTGGTTATAGGCCAGTGTAGTAGTTTATAGAATAGTTAATGCGTTCTTTTTACTTCTGACCAACAGGTGGCAGGAGACATGCTGTGCGGTGACCAAAACTTTGACATCGTCCAGGTCCTCAAATTTTTCCGGCTGAAGGTGAGCTCTGGATGATTGTGCAGATTATAAGCACACACACACACGTAGTGAACTCTGCAGAAACATACAGAAAGTAGTGCTCTACACAGGTATGTGTGAATTGTGCTGTTCAGGATGGAGAGCTGGCTATTTACTATGAAATGGAAGAAAGTGAAATCACCTCTTCCCGAGGAATTTTAGAGGTTTGCCCCATGACGCACAGGTACTTATCTCACATCGACATTTCCTCATAATGTTTCTTTCTTAATGACATTAACGTTTCAAATGAGATCAAATTTTCAACTAATATCTCAGTTAAAACTCAAAAATATTTAAAATAGATTAATTAAAATATATTATTTATTTTAATGTTGCATTTATTTGAAACAATTTTTTTAAACGTCATTTTAAATTATTATATACGGGCACTCTGTGGTTCCAGCTTATTGATCTGATCCCTGAGCCAACTAGCACCCTGAGAACGATTGTTTAAGGGCGCTTTATTAATTGAAATTATTATAGTGTGCTTATAACTCTACCAAACCTAACCATACCAAAATAACTCGACACATTCCTAAATAGCACTGCAATACATGAAAATATAATAACAGGTGGAATTTCGAACAGTGGCCATTCTTCGTAGCATTGAAGAATGTGTTGAGATTTTAATAATTTGTGTTTGTGCAGCACAGCAAAACAGTATCACCAAGTCATTTGTTTAATTGCAAATACAAGTCATATTACAATTCCATCAGTGCTGCTCAATCAGGTGCAATTTTTTTATATATATAATATGTAACAGAGCAGTTTAATGGACAAGCTGGTGACTCCTGTTTTATAATTTGCTTTACGGGAATGGTTTTGCAGAATCCAACGTTTTTTTGAGAAGCCCAATCCCGGGGTAACGGGATCCCGTCTGGCGAGCGTGGTGTTCTACTGCTTTCGCAAAACGACGCTCGCCACCTTCCCGGAATTCCTTTCCCAGCAGCCACACCCTTCTGAGTGTGGCTTTGGAAAGTACATGGTGAGCAGATGGTATCGCTCGCCTTCTTCGGAAAAAAAAGCAGAATACTTTGATGTGGAGCGGTGACACAGTGGTTAATGCACTGCGCCATCAACCCAGCGTCCAGAGTTCAATTCCTGGCTGTGGCTAATATTAAGGGAGAGTAACATATGGTCCCACTCTCCCACTTCACCTTCATCAGCCTGCACTGACCAGATTGGTGAAGTATAGTTAAACAAAACTCATGACCGACATAGCTTGGGGAATTCTTCATCCAACTTCGAAATGACAAATGGCTCTGAATTACTATTTTAATTAGACTGACTTTTAAACACTGTAATCTAATATAAATGTATGTATGTGTGTTGAACTTCTTTCACACCGTACGTAGCCAACTTAGCTAATCGGAGGTGCGGGAGCATTTTAAATAAGCATTTTACAAATTTGGTAATTATGTCAGAATATACATTTGTTTACTTCAAATAATGATTTATGTGTGGTAATTGACACCAATAGTGTGCACAAAGCAAAGTAATCGTTCATAACCTGATTGTCTGGAAATGCTGCCTTACCTTTGCCAGGAATGGCTGGTTAATGAATCAGATATTCCTGTTTACGGCATGAAACTGCCTGGAGGATTCCACCTAATTGGTCAAGTGGTAAGCATTGGATGTGCTCATTGCACTGCACTTGCTGGTGCAGTAATGTAAAAAATCATGTAATATAATTTTCGATAGTTTAATGAATATTTATAAGACACTGCATGTGCATGGATCGCTGTGTTTTCTCTGTGTTTGTTACCTCCGTATCATCTTTTGTGCCTTTTCACTTCTTCCCGTCTGTCTCTTCACTCTGATAGGTTTTGTATTTTACGTGTGTATTTGCAAGTCGCTTTTTAGAGACGATGTTGCAGTTCAGCAATTGATAAATGCAAATAAGTGTCCTTTAAACCAATCTTACAACCATGGAAATAATGTAGATATTAAACATTTTGTGCTAATCAATTTGTGAATAAATGCATGCATTAGCATATGCTTAATGTAGTTTATTGTACACACATAGAGGGGACTGGTCCTCTCCTGCTGTTCAGGGTTATTCAGGGTTTTGTTAATGCCTATGACCAAGTCACCTGGGATGCACTCGATCTCATCAGATCTTGGAAACTACGGCTTGAGGTTGGATAGTGCTTAGATGACCACCATCCATAACAGTTATATGCTGCTACACACTACATGGTGGGCAACAGAGGGCAGTGCAGAAATATCAACAGTTGTGCTGTACTTCTATGTGCCCACATCTATGTTCCCTGCTTTCACCAAACCTCACCTGACTAGCATGGTCCAGTATCATCAAGTAGCCCCCACCACCCGCATTGTGGAGGCAGGCCTACTTACGTTTACAAAGGGCCGTAGATTTACATGTGTGGCCCTCGATAAGTGGAGTGCATTTATTGAAACTACTTAAGCAGAATTAATTGTTGCAGTGTACATAGCCGATGTGACTGTCGCTGGAGGCACTTCCATTTGGTCAACCTAAGAAGAGGTCTGCACCCATACCGCGCAGGGCCTGTCTGACTACCAGAAGTGGCTCAGCTACTACTCGGAGAGACACTGTGACGTGAAGCATCGCCCCATAACGTGCCGCGCATACGCCAGGTGACCCCACAGTTTCCGTTATGTAATTTAATTTGTGTGTTTTTCGAACATTTTTTATTTAGTTGTGACATTTAATTATGTTTGCATCCGTGTGTCTGTGTTTTATGTACAGAGTAGGACTTATGGGAAACCCTTCAGACGGGTTTCACGGTAAAACCATCGCGATGACGATCGCCAATTTCTGGGCAGACGCCACCATCACGGAAAGCAAAACTTTGGTACTTTTATTTGCAAGTAAAGCTCGTTTGTGCGTGCGTACGTGTGTCCATGTGATTTGCAGACATGCACATTTTGTATTAATATTGATGCAGAATGTACCAAGCTTGTGCTATTAAATCTAATAATCATGTCTTGTATGCATGTATGATACAATAAAAATACAATGCAACGTTTATTTATTTACCTGTAAATCTCAAGATGCTGTACTGGTATCCTGTGGAAAGGAGAGATGGTCATAACCAGAGGAAAATATGACATTTTGGAGCCTAAAACTGAACAGAGGCAGACACCACAGATGGATGTGAATTACAGACTATGGGGGCAAAAGAGGAGAAAGAGAGACCTCCCACCAAGTGAAGTTTGACTGGGAGCTTTGTCCATAGATAGGCTTGATTGCTGGAGCAGAGAGTGCGTGGAGGGGAGTATAAGGATATTGTAGGGGAGAGTTAGGCAGATGTTGAGGGCAATCTATGTAATCTGAGAATCGTCACACCTACAGCCATGTCATTGCTTTACTTGCTCCATGCCATCGTGATGATTTATATAGTCTTATTAAATCAAACAGTAATTACTAATAATAGTTTTTTACCCTTTTTTCTGGCAACAAAAGAGGTGTTAAGATGTTAAAACACCAAACTGAAACCTTTTACAAGGAATCACGTCTGCATTAACCACAATACTTGTGGTCAGAATGCAAAAAAAAACACTCTGATAATATATGCATTGTCCTTGAAAAGTAATGACTCCGTAAACACTCAAATTCGAGAATCGTTTAACTGCTCGCGTTTGTGTTAAATTGCACAATAGCAATAATCCTTGTTTATCAAATTATCGGCAAATTGCTAACAACATTTAAATATGCATACAATTCTGAGTTTGATGCAGTGCCATAAAAAAGCCACAACCCATAAAAACGATGGAGAGATTTTGAAGTTACAGTTGTGCGTGACTGTGGCTCTCTAGAGACATGTGAGATCCCTTTGTGACATTCCTCCTGTGGATTAATATAGTATCAGTAAAGTAATGTCTCCAGATTTTACACTCAATTTGTTTTTCCTCCACGAAGCTTCAAGTCTAAGGTAGACACCCTCAGACACACGTTCAAGTGATATATCTACAAGATAACAGCTGTTAAATTTCCGCACTACCGATTAGCACGGTTGGCTACGTACGGTGTAAAAGAAGCTGCATCTTTAATGCCCCCCCTTTTCCTCTCTCATGTGCCGTAGGTTCTGGTTCCGCACCCATTGAACGACCCGACGGAGTTTGGAAGTCTGCACGACCTCTATGGCATCAGCAGGAAGGAGGGGTCAGTGTTTGTCTTCACTCCAAGATGAGAGTGTTGCAATCGAAGATTACTATTCCCTACAAGTTCATAACCCTGCCACTACCCAATAATTCCCGGGTTGAGTATGAAAACTCTTTCTGTGTATGTAGGCATGAACATATATTGGGTAGTAGTACGCATCTATGACCACTATACCAAGGATAGGAAATATTTAAACAAAAATTGCCTACTTAAGCTGTAATGTTCCAAAAGGTGGTCAACATTTCCCTGAACCTTTGCATTTGGGAATTTAGTCGAGCTAGCATTTAGGAAGTGCTAGTTCGGTACACTTAGAAATACAAATAAATAACTGCATAAGTTAACGTTTAACTTATTGGGTTGTATGTAATGCTGCTGTTTGTGATGATAGATACCTGGGTGGCTTGAGGTTGCTACAGGCCACTTGCAAGAGGTTTTACCACTACTGCGCCGAGCATGGGTATGATGTAAACCTTTGCTATACGCATATGTATCATCCATGTTTTCACGTGAGGCAAGGTTTGACTGTGCAAACCAAGCACTTCAGTGTGAACCCACTGTTAGGTGGAGCAGCTACCACGGAGAAAGACCTTGTCCAGAGATAGTCTCTCTGGAGTATTTAGGTGGCTCTCAGATGGAAACTATTCAGTGCTGCCAATTTTTATGACCATTAAAATTAAGTCATTTGATGAACTACTCACACGATATGTGAATTGTTCAGCAGATGGCAGTGTCTGTGTGAACCTCTGAGTGTTGTCCACTCATTTATTTTCTCCAGGTACTTAAATGTCCTCGCACACAAAAAAAAAACACTTTAATATGGATTTGACCAATACAAGTCCTTTGTGATTAACAGTATTGATACTAAGCCTGTCTTAGGAAAATCAAGTACATGTTTTATTGTTGCTACCATAAAGGCTGTCTCAATTGCTGTCCTCCAAGATGGCATTCTGTGGACAAGTTGATTGGACAATTTCTGGTTGCTTACGTTGCAGGAATCATTGTATTGCATGTGATTTTGTACCTGCATGACAGCACGTGTGTGTGTGTTTATAATTACATTTATTTAATAGAATTGCATTGGCAAAGCGGAACTTCACACTGAAGTATGACACCAACATTCCACGCCAAGTGGTGAGTGCATGATATAATGAGATTCACTAGCTTTTCTCTGATTTTGCATTGCATTAATACTCTTATTAGTTTTGGCTGCAGTTGATTGAATTTACATCATGCACAAGATAAACTAATGGAAAGCATGTAAACAAACACATCTCATACAATTATTATTTGTTCCTGCAGGGCCTTGCTGGCAGCAGGTAAATTATTTAATTTAATAACTACATTCATGAAGCAAATAGCTACTCACAATATTGAATCGTCAGTATACATTTCAATAAAATATTTTTGGACAATTTATTGAAGGTAATTTTAAACCAATAACTCAGCAATGCGTTTACGGATTGTACCATGTGTTCGGCACAATGTCCGACGTTTCATTCCACATTCTGGGAACTATTTCGGGAACATCAATTTTTGTTTGTTTATTTGTGTGCAGCGCGATTGTTACTGCAACGGTGAAGTGTCTGATGAGATTCTACAGCTTGACGGATGATGTAAGTGCTGTACCACTTCCCATGTAACTACCATCACCATCTGCAATGTGCTCCGTTTAGACTAATTAAATACATCCAAAAGTCAAAGCAGTGCTTCCCCCAACATATCGATGCACCAAGTACTCTGCACAAGGGCTGCATAAATATTTATTTAATTAATACATTCATTATCTACGACAGGCGTTCTATTCCCAACTCTCAGGCGCCTTTGTCTGGAGTGGCTGAATAGAACTTTAAAATACTTTTGGCTGGCCACAATTAACACGCGCGTCAGTCACTGCCATGACTGCAAGGACCACTGGCCATCACAGAAGTGACCAAGCATACAAAAAGTAGAAAGTGTTGCCGGCACCCGATCTTCTTTCGTATGGCTGATGTAGATGCAGAGCAACAGGTACACATGCAAGTGGTCAGGTCAGATAATCGCATCAGGAGCAGTGGAGTGTATCGCGGCTAAGATGCTTGCGGTGATGGACCGCTATTGTGTGCGGGCCGTTTAGGAGTGGTATGCCTCATAAGGGGCTGTATGAAATTAAATTGCGTTCCTGTATGTGGCCCATGGGCTGTAGGTTCCCCACCCCTGATCTTGAACTTGCCTTGACTTGTGGTGGGTGACCTCTTATTAAATCATGGTCCTATGATGCCATTATTACAATTGCTTTAAGTCAAAGAAGAACACGTTGATACAATCTGCACTTATTGTATTATGCTTGTTTACCCAGGAAAGCCTCACTAAATCCCAATACTCCTTTTCAGGAGGGTTCCTGCCAAATCTTTTGCAGTCGGGGATGATGTTGCTATTTGTAATCCCAATTGAGTAATTTGCAGGTTATTTTCAGCATTGAAATATGTGGCCAATACCAGGTACATTGTATGGTTTTAGTTATGGGAAGAGTCCAGGGAACCTAGAGGAAACTTGTGCAGAACAGGGTGAGAACATTCAAACACCACACAACAAGGCACCCGAGTCAGGATGTGAACCCAGGACCTTCTTGCTGAGGCACAGGGTGTTATACGACTGCGCCACCTCGCTGCCCATGTTTTATTAAATGTTCATTGTATATGCTTTATATGATGTTATTCGCTCCCCTATTTGTGTTATCAACTGATTTTAAAAGTTGGCATGGAAAAGTGAAGTCGTTCTGTGTTAATGAGTCCTATCAGTACATTTAATCAACACTAAACATTTGATGAAGTTCCTTATTTGCATAGCACTTGCCCCAGTAGAGTCAGCAGGTCAACATTTTAGATGAAGTATTAGCACAGCGTAGGTCTTCGTGGTTGTGCTGTGTAGTTCTCCGATGTGTGTTTGGGTTGTATCGCATGTTGCTCAGCGTGACGTCCGACATTTTGCTCGGGGGGCCTTAAGAAAGTTCCAAACAACGTGGAGTGAAATGTGGGACATTTTGCCAAACCATACGTGGTACAACCCGAAACACACATCAGGGCATGTGATAAGCTACTTAGTTGAGCTATCATTTGTAGCCAGGTCGCTTCTGAAAAAGAAGCTAATAGCTCAGTGGGCTTTACTTGTTAAGATAAAAATATTGTTTAGTTTTATTCATATATATTTTTTAGTTATTTGTTTAGCTTTCCTCTACTTTTCACTCGTATTGTGTTTTTGTTTTGTTGTAACGTTCTGACCTGACCCCACTAGACATCTGTGAAAAAGAGTTTTGTAGCTCATTGCATTTCTTGCCAGTATAAATAAATATTCTGAATCTGCTCTCGACTGTGCCAGGACCTTCCCAAAGCGGCACGCGCAAACTTCATCCTGGGGGTGGAGATGGACGAGCTGTTCATCAACGCCGGCCTGCAGGACCGCGTGGTGCAGGTATGAGCAACGTCTGGATGGGCGGTCCTGCGGCCGTCTGGAACGCTCTTCTTTCTGACATTAAGATGCCACTGGAACTATGCACTTTTAAGTCTAGATTTAAAACTAATTTCTTAAGAACTGTTTTTTGTGTTTAGTTTGTTCTTCCCCCACACCTCTCATTAGCACAGTTGTCTACTTACTGTGTTAAAGAAATTCAACATAAATACAAAATGTATTTAACGAAGGATTTTGTGCCGTCGACTGGCGACCGGGCTGACACCATCATCTTGCTGTTTTTGAGAGGCCAGTTTAATCACCTGTGGCTGCTGTGATTCGAACCCAGGATCTTGGTGGTGCCAGCTCAGAGCTCTTGAGCCTCATCCACCTAACTACCTCTGGAAATTCCCAGTTCTTGGGACCAGTTTTCTCCAGTCACGTACCACTAAGTAGTGCTGTATAAAAGGTTGGTGAAGGGACATCCCACTGTCACTCCACCGAGGGATATTAAACTATAATAACATTTGATGTGATGTCAACAATGGTTGTCTTATTCTAACCCATATTGTTGATTCACTTGTGGTGTAGGTCTACGAAGGTCTTGTCTACATGGATTTCAGTAAAAAACTAATGGAAGAACAAGGCTTTGGCAAGTATTATGAATGGGTAGACAAGCCCCAATTGTCTTCTGTTATTACTTCATAGTTGAACTTTTGCATAGAATGATAAACTCTTAATAACACTCATCACACACTTACATACCATTACAGTAAGTAACTTATTCTCAGATTGAGACCTCAATCATTCATTGACACACTGTAGTTTTTATTCTTGGTTCTTTCGGTAAAGTCACGTACCGAAAGAACCAATAATATGAATCTCTGCAGTCACGAAAGCTTTAAATCAAAATTTTTACACTGTAGTTTGTTATTTGGCCACTTACAAAAGAGGGCCTCCTTTTCTTAAAGGTAAGCCTCGGCGACTTGTCAATTGTCTCATTCTGCCCCATACAGGAAACTACGTGAGCATGTCGATGGACTGCTTGCCTAAGTTCTGGCTGGCTTACCTGGGAGACCCCAGCGATTCCGGAAAGATCCATAGCGACGTGAGACAACGGTGGCTCAGTGGCAAGTGGCCAAACGTTTATATATTGCATCTTTTATCTCAGAACAATACTTTGATTTGATTAACAATCATTCTTCAGTAATATGAACGGGATTCATATAATCATTGAATTATTGCTTTATATATACCAGACATTGTATTTATATCCTTGAAGAATGTCGGTCTTCGAAGTAAGATTGTCTTCTTATTCGCTGACATTTGCTCAACAGGTGATCAGGATGTGGTGGAAGCCATGAAGAAGTTTGCAGAACTAACGGATCAGGCAAAGTATGGCATCGATGTTCCGGTTGTGGTATGCAATGCGAGGTTAATTCTTGCGGAATGTGGCACGGCTTTTCCAGCCCTGTCATTGCCCAGAAGCTGGTAGTGAATCTTGAAACTGCACTGTTTCACAAGGCCTTCTCGAGGCAATTTCAAACTGAATAGACGTTGGCAAAGGACGCGCAAGACCACATTGCTACGTTCACTCACGTGTTGCATGGGTGGAGCGGTGGCATAGTGGTAAGCACACTTACACTGGAAGCTCTGTCACTCGAGTTCTACTCCTGCCCGCAGCTTATATTAGTGGTGAATGAGTAATTTTAGCAGTTCTTGGTGCCCCCTTCCCTAACCAGGATGGTGAAATATGGTCAAACAATATTATAGTGATTGGTTTATACCAAAGACTATCGACGGTTTGCATGTTATTTAATTACTTTCTGTATAAAGAAGCATGCATTCATTGACAAAAGGGCTATGAGTTACTTATATATGATTATATGTTGCTATAACAACTGCATCGATGTTTGTTGTGATTCTCATGCAGAATGGCATTGGAGACTAGCAACTGGACTCTGCTTGCTGAACTAATGAATCAGAATTTTGACCTGAGAAGGTAAGGTTCAATGGTTTAAAGCACGGATTTGTGTAAACACGCAAGGCTGTTGCACCTGCATCTGTGTTTGCTTTTGGCTCTTAATGTAAACAGACATTTCATTTTGTGTTCCCAGGTCACTCTACACCGATGCCTGCCTGGGTTCTGCTAATTTAAACATGGTAGAGCTAGCCAGACAGGCAAGTCCAAACCCACATGCTTATATTATGAAAAATATATCCATGTATATAATAACTACAATAAACGACGTGAATAATAAATTGCACACGATGTATATAATGTATTTAAAGCTTTCATTTTGAAAATGAATTATTTACTTTTAGAAAATAACATTCATTTGTTGTTTACTATGTTATTGCTGACAATCCACCACAACAATGGATTTGCACAACCACGAGTGACTTCGAACAAAATAGTTTTTATTTTATCGATAACAGAAGGACGATGAGCTGAATCGACCCCCAACGAGGAATGATTAAATTCCCAACTTTCTAAATGTGAGCCTTGCTGCTTCATTTCTCGGTGGAATTTCCCCATTCTTGGACTAGATATTTCATTCATTGCAGTGTTTATGAACTTTCACGATCCGTGCTGCTGCTGTTGTTGTGAATGTAGACGAGTGCCTCCACTGTATTGCAGTTTGGCGCCGCGGTGAAGTTTCCAGGAAGCGGTGGGGCCGTCGTGGGAGTGAGCGCTGACCCACCGAGGCTGGCGAGTGCCCCATGTTTGCATCCCTCCACTCGTCCGCACCTGCCATCGCGGGTCCCGCATTGCTGACGCGTGTCCCGACGGGTCTCCTGGCCGTAACTGTGCCTGCGTTTGGCCATCTGTTTCCTTTCCGTCTTTCATGCTTTTTGAAGGAGAACACTGCCGCGGCGCGATTGAATTTGTTTGTGTCGGGAGCGGTAGTGTAGCGGTTAGCGCGCTGCACTTCGAATTCGGCAACCCGAGTTCGATTCCCGCTCACGGCCAACACCAGTGACGATTATCTGAGCTGGTCCTGAGCCTCCCCTAGGTCGACTCAGCCTCAAATGAGTACCTGGTGTGATGTGTAAACATCGCCACTGGGGAGACAAAGGTGCTAGCCACCCTTGTGTGCTGTGTGCACCTTCATATGTGCTCACTAACAGCACATGCCCCAAATATCTGTGAAGGATATATGGGGGATCTTTGTCTTGGTATGTGCACCTGTGTTGTTGCAAAAGTGATCTATGGCATTTTACTCCAATTTTTCCCTTTCTGCTCACCCCAAACTTTTTTACATGTTCCGCAGAAAAACAATTCTGTGAGTTTAAATATCCGTGTCCTTGTGTGTTGTAGAGTTGTACACATTGTGGCTGTAAATGCAACAACACTTATTTTGCTAAATTGGCAAACAGGTTGGGATTTGACACTGCAATTTCCCATGTTAATCCACTCCTAGTATAATTGACAGTCCTTTTGTGACTGTACTGCTTAATGAAGGACTCTACATGCCATGTCGGTCATGTGAGGGTGTTTTACCGTACTTCACCATGCAGGGCGGTGGGGGTGTGGGGCCTGGTACAGATATGACTCGTCACTGATGTCATCTGAGACCACGAATTGAACTGAGGCTTCTAGGCTCAATTGTAATGTGCTAACGACTAGACATGCTTAGAAAATGTGATGGCAGGATACATTTTAAATTATTTAATCCTGTATTTTAACTGTGGTCACAACACTAATCGTTTAGATGCTTGAAACACCTGCTTTCCCTTCTTTATGCCTCTTTATGACACATTTTTAAAAAAGTATAACCAAGATACATTTACGATATTCCTAGCATCTGTGATATTATGCCTTGTCCTCTTCGTGAGATCAGCCATCTCACAATGAGCTTTTATCTGAATGTTTTTAAAATCAGAACTCTGTTTGCACATATACATGTACAACCATGTATATGTGCAAAGAGTATGGAACCGGAGTTCTGTGTGATTCGCCCAGGAAGTAGGCATTGCTCATGATTGTGATCGTCCTCGTTGCAGGCGGAGATGAAGAAGGCTTTCCAGCAGCGTGGTTACGTCATCTGCGACGTTGTGCCGTACGACCCCAGCACCAAGGGCAGCACGACTTCAACCTGACACCCCTGAAAGAGGCGGGGCGCACTTGCCAACCGCATGGCCGCCGTCCCTCTTGTCTCCAGCTGATGTCACTTGAAGCTTTCATCTACATTGCCTATCGCCTTACAATTATCGGAACCGTTGCATGCATCTCAGAAGCGTTTGTCTCGGAACGGCAGTCAATGGGCGAGTACTGATTAGGCCCGTTCTCTTGGCATCATTACGATGCAGCTGTGCTCCTGAAATTTCTCAAGATCCATATGTGTAGAAGTCGAGTCCAAGTGTGATTGCATGCTCATTGAGCATAGAAACAGTGCTCATCTCCTGTTTACAGCCCTGAGCCAATAGTGTAAATTCCACATTGCTATGACGGGGAGGAGTCTACATAGGAAAATCAATGTTGACTACCCCCCAAAGTTGCACTCATTTTATTGACCCTGGAGGGACGATGGCTGCTGAGTCAACCTCCAAACAGGATTTGAACTTGCGACCTTCTGGTGTATGTATTGCATGTTGAACTTCTTTCGCACCATACTTAACCAACCATGAGCCACTTGCATTCCTGGAGATCTGCCAGGATGGTTGATGTCTGCAAGGTGCATCTGTAATATGTAACAACTTAAAAGTCGTGAAACTCAATTGTTTTGCCGCCAATGGTTACACAAGCACAAAGTGGTCACTTTTTGTTTGCTCTTGATAGTTTTCTTTAAATCATTTTTTCGTGCAGTGTTCAAGCTGAAGCCATCATTTGTCAACTTCATTATAACTTTAGCTGAATGTTAATAATTTGATTCTGTGACTTGAAAAGTGCGCCAGAGAAAATCTGTTTTAAGCGAGCAATAATTACACTTCTAGAGATGTCTGTCGTGTTCATATTTTACGAGCACTGGATTAGAATTAGACCAGTGATCTGTGTGATGGGAAATTCGCTGGAAATGTAGTTTTTTTCAAAATGCGTTGCAGCCAATATTTGGCAATACGTTAATGAATAAGGCGTTTGAGCCCATGAACACTTCAATAATATTTTGTATGACATGCAAACTTTTTTATAGTATAATTACAAACAAGTTTCACTTATCAGATGTACAATTATTTTTATTTCAAGTTGCTAATGTGGTGGGCAGAATTGCTGCTGTATGAAGCATTACATTGTACGTGCGTTGCCTTTTTTCCCAGTATTGGCTCTGATGAAGTGGACGATACGTTAGTGGGCTAGTTTGATTCTGAAATACTTTTACTGCATACGGATTTTCAAAGCTATTCATTTCCGCTTTGTAATATTAAAAACTAATCTGTGATGCTATTTTCGTTTTGAAAATCAGTTTGTGGTAAAATGGTTTAAAAAACAAGCCTACCGTGTAAAGCTGTAGGGTTGACAAGTTCGATATACTAAGTGCAGATCCATCTCAAGACACTAAACAAAACCCAGCCGTGCACAACACAGCGACGCCACAGAACACCAGATCCAAAGTTTTAACGTATAACGCTTCACACTGCGGCACTGAGCACAGCGATATTGACTTCTTTCAAAGTACAAATGCACCTATACAGCCCAATTGTCAGTCCACGGCTGTATGAGGGCCTCCCCATGCCTGTGTAGTGATCGACTTCCGAGACACGTCGTGGAGAAGGCTTCTTATTCTCACACTTTAAGCACAACACTGGGCGATACATCGATGCAACGTTCTACGTAGCTACACACAGCCGACCCTTCTACACAACCCCATCGTCGGCGTCCAACTACACCGCTGTGTGACTAGCGCAGCGACGGCGGCGATGAGAGCCTTGCAGAAGATCGGCCACGTGGCCGGACGACGAAGAGAGATGACGGGTCCTGGCTGCAGCGACGCAGCCAGGACCCGCAACAGCACCGAACCTCTGTGCTGTTCGGTCCCCCTTGTATACTACACTCCGGTGCAGCAAAGCCCCCGCCTCTGACCACGCCCCCTTCCAGAACCTTCGAGCAGGTTCCAGGAGCTTCCCGACTGACTCCGCCTCTCACCTTTACCCCAGACACGCCCCCCTCATAACTCGATATCACGTAACATGCCCATAACCGCTATTACCCCTTCAGGCCGACAGGTGGCACCCTGTCATTACACCTGTACAGGTGAGGGTCATTGACCATGCTTCATCACGCTGGTCAATGCATTGTTATGCACTGCCCTCTTTTACACCACCACATGGCCCCGCAGCCTATCCGAATGTTTATACTGGAGGAATCCGATGAGCTATAAAGCTCTTTGACAGATGTCCAGAAGGGGCAGGGGGTAAGAAAGTTACAACAAACATTACAAAAACACGGTAGGAGTGCAAAGTACACAAGGTAAACAAATCACCCAAACACAAATACAACACTACACCATCCCCATCCTACCAGACAAAGCCCACTGAGGTATTAACTTATTGTTCAAAAGCGTCGTGGCCACAAATGACAACAAAGTGGGTTATCATTTGGACATTTATGGTAGCAAAATAATATCGTCTAAACGCATGTTTACGATGGTCACCCATCCAAGCACGTTCACGCTCGGGGCTCAACCATACTTTAGTTTCTAAGGTCGGAAATATTTCGGGTACGAAATTTGGTCACAGGCATACGTAAAGGTATACATTAAAACTTGATTTGGAGCTTTCGTGGCTGCAGGAATTACTCTTTGGTTCTTTCGGTAAAGTCACGGAGAAAACATTACACATTAGGCTGACAAGGCGAGCGTTAATTGGCATGCACCGTGTAAGCTGATAGCCAAAGGGTATTGAATTCACGTCCGTGCTCGTGTGTGCATGCATCGCGTTAGTAGTAGCTGTGTGCCTGCATACCACACAGTGGTGGGGCGTCCTGTTCGCTCGTGTCGAGAGGACAGCGTTGAGCACAAATGTCGTGCTGTGTGCAGCCCCCTGTGATCAACCACCACGTCCACTCTGCTGCTGTTGGGCATTCCTGACGTCTGTGACGTTTGTAACTTGAGTAGAGACCGACATCCTCATCAGCTTGGAATTGCTACAGCCCATGCCCTGCCCTTTAATGCACCCGATTGTCCGTACCCTTTTGCCTTTGTCTATTATCTACGTGCTCGCGAACAGCACTTTTCCCCAACAGTCTGTTAAGGCCGTACGGGGGATCTTTGTCCTTGTTTTGTGTGTGTTATTTATGGCAGCATCTGCCCCCCACCGATGTGAGGTTGCCTCCACGGGGAATCCTTTTCCCCGTGGTCGCGGTGATGCAGCGGTTCGTGCACCGCACGACAAAGCCAGCCACACCGGGGGTCTGATGAGGCTCCTCGGCCATGGACAGCATCAGTGGGCGAGTCGTATCAGAACCGGTTCTGGACCTCCCCTGGGTCAACTCAGTCCTAAAATTAGTTCTCGCGGCAATGTGTAAACATCAGCGCTAGTGAGACAGAGGTTGCCCCGGTGTGTGCTATGAAGCCTTAATAGGTCCTCCCTAACTCCACTCGCTAACAGTGTTGACTATAACATGGTGGGGTGGGGGGTGGAATCTTTGTGTGCTGTGCAGGCGTCGGCAAATGACGCGTGTTCTGTTAGCGTTGGTCCCAAAGACCCTTGGTTACGGTTAGAGTCTTGCTTTATCTGACTGTACACAGTCTGGCCCGAGACTGCTTCGACACAAAGTCGGTAAGAACTTTACAAACTTTTTGCCACCTCTATCGACGTCCATATATGTTTTCTCGCAGCTGGATTTTGGTTTTGTTTTAATATTTTTCTTCCCAATTGTTTCACACTTTGCAGTGCTTCGTAGAGCTGAGAGCTGAACTGCGGTAGACTTGCCAAAGTAGCCAACAGCAATGTTTTATTGCAGAGTAATTCTGTCTTTAATTGTGAAACAGAGCAGGTGACTTGGTAGGACTAAAGCTTCGCTGGTATGAGGCTTTATAACGTGCATTAATGTTTGGCAATTAAAATGTACTCCCTAACACTTTTCCGCTGACCAAATCACCCTGATTTTGACCCCATCTCATCAAATACCGGATGATAAGCAGTGTTAGGCTTGGTGAGTACTTGTTTGGGAGACTTAGAAAATTCCAGGTGTAGATTCGGACTGCAAGGCGGCCAGATGATGAAAGTATACCAGTTGATTCTTGAACCAGTCTGCAGAGGTTCGATTTTTATACCAACTCGTATGCATGTAGATTTTCGGAGTACTCAATTTTCCTCCCATACGAAGCCAAACACTCATTATTGGACATGTCCAACCATCCCTATGCAGGATACTCCTGAAAATGAATCTTGATTTTCAGACTTTGCTGTGTAAATATAGGGATTTTTTTTCCTGTAAACCTCTGATTAGCACGGTCGGCTACGTACGGTGCGAAAGAAGTTCAACATAGATTCGTATAAACACTCCCGATTTGGTTTTAAACAGCACCGGTTCGCTACTTGGCTGCTGCTACCTTCCAGCACGTCTCTGGTTCCTGCGCGATTGTGAGATGCAATTTGCATAAACGACGACCATATATTTATATCAAACAACCATACATTTTTACAGATTATCAGATATCTATAAATGCAGTCTGACGAGCTACATCATCATCACGATCCATGGGCAGATAGTTCGTAGGTGTCCACTGCACATTTCGGCATTTGTTTCCACTTTCCTCTCTGTCTTGTGCCAATATTCTCAAGCAGTGGCCACGGCTCTCTGGGACCAATGTCTTGTGATGTCCTCGTCAAGCCATTCTCTGTCAGCTCTTCCTCTCTTTCCGGTTCTATTTTTCCAAACAGCACACTGTTCATTGTCTTTGTTCTCCATCCTACATAGGTCTCCAAATAGGTCGATTTTCCGCATTATTCCCTTCATCAGGTCCTCTTACATAATGTGCGTTGATTACCATATAAATAATGCAACCAGCAATGGATAGCCATCGTAATTTATATTAGCCATCATCATTTATATTAGCTATAGTCATGTTTATTAGCCATAGTCATTTATATGCATTCATTAATCCCCCCCCCCCCCCCCCCACTATGCACAAGAAGTTGCTCACAAGTGATGTCACCACACCTACCCCTCTATTTAAGGAACGAAACAGGAGGATGTATCCACAAATCTGGCTGTCGCCTGATGAAGCTAGTTGTAATTAGTGGCGAAACGTCGTGCTCGGATTGTAAATGTTGTGGCTTGGCTCTCCAACACACCGGTGTGCTGTACTAGTAACGAATTTGCATCTTCTGTTGACGTGACAACCCTTACTAGTTGCCTGTGTCGGGTGGTGGCGGGTTTAACGACACATTTACGCGATCTAACCCAAAAAACCCTGCATTGTCTTCTCCCATGTGGCAGCCTGGGTCGCTCTTCGGGCACAGCTTCGATGCGGTATCCCTCTGCAGCAATACGTTTAAGGTGCCGATATCTTAGCCCTGGTCAAGTCTCGCGTGCACACCAGCTGACCGCCTACCGCTACTGAAGTGTCGATGGCACGTGCACAGAGGGATTCGTGGTGACTCAAAGCCACGCGGTAGATTTCTGTTGCTGTGGTGACGGCAAGCCCGTGGAGACGCCTGCCACATGCTGCCAAGACCCCGTGCTGGAAAGGTGATCGGGGAGGGGTTTAAACCTTACACTGGGCTAGCTCGCGGCCCCAGTAAACGTGCAAGGCTGAGCCGACGTTGGTGCAACGTGTTCCAACCACATGCCGAGCGACGTTAGCCCAACGTTATAGATTTACGTGGGGAACATCCAACCTCCTTCAGGACTTTCCAAACAATATTTACATAGAAAGGGAAATAAAGCAGCTAATTGCAACCGCTTTGACCGAATCGTTTATGTAAAAGTGAGGAACCAGAGATTGACCTATTACCCAGAATGCTGTATTGTTTACTTTGACGAAAAATATTCTAATATATGTATTTTCTTAGTTCATAAACCGGTCTATCGCATGTAAAAAAAAAATCTGACTTCGGCTGTGTTCAAAGTTGGGCGGGAATGATGCGTCAATTCATCGATAAACATCGATTGTAAATCTCACTTGACACGCATCAATTCACGTGAGAATCGATGGTCTTCAATTCATGTTATCAGTTCACGTCACCCCTGCAGCTACTCGAGGCGCTACCATTCACCGCAATGTTAGCAACATTGTATGTGGCTCAATTACAACAATTAATCGATTTGTGATATTTTTTTAACAGCGTTTAACAACGGTGGCTGGTTCCAGTAGTTGACTGAATGAGTTCTGTTTGAAAATAGCTAAATGAGTAATATGCACATTTTTTTACAGAAATGTTCATTGTATAAACCAAAGCTCTGACTATTGTATGGGTATTAGTGACAGCCCATTCTCAATGAATTGCTGAATGATGGCCTCCCCCTACCGTGTCCACTATGTGTGTTGTTTGACCATACTTTACCATGTTTATTAGTAAGGGTTGGTAAACCCAGGATCAGTTCAGATATTACTCGCCACTAGCAGGGTTTCCCTTTACATATGAACACAAAATAAACACATTCGTCAATAATACTGTGACCTGAAAATAAACAATAAATTATAGGCGATGTTTCGGTCAATGACCCCTCTCCATACACATAGATATGTGAGTTTGGTTTAGTATCATAAGGGCCATTGCTTGAAGTGGAACTGGCATTTTACTTTCAAGGAAGTTTTATTAACAAACGTTTTTTGTGTTGTTATTAACACTGGTGCATCACTGCTAACAGCATATCCCCAAACAATCCCTTTACAGAATTGGCACATTCCAATTTAATCCCCTCAACATTTGCGCAGATCTCGGAAGTTGGAGCGTTCCATATCACAACGTGGGGGACGTGGGTCCAGGGGTGTCCTGGATTGGTCCGAAATTGAGCTGCCGTTGGCAAATAAATCTCCGGTATTTAAACCGGCAAATGATGTTTGTGGCTGAAATCCGGCTCTTTAAAGGGAAAATATTCTATTGGTGATCGCCCCACTCCCTGACTCGGCACGTGGCACGCATTTTAGCATTGTCAGTGGAACAAATAGAAAATAAAGTGCCGTAAATACATTGCGACTTTTCTGAAAGTTAGCAAAAACAATGTAGTCTACAGTAATCAATCACAATGCGATGACTTGTTAGCTAACCAGGAGTGGGCTTTGCCTCTGTTCTATAAGTTTGCATGTCAACACCGAGTGGAATGGGAATTCTTTGGTTTATGTCGTCGTGGGTCATGTAAGTGTTTAGAACGAGACTTACAGCAATGGAGAACTTTAGAATGACCCTGCCCGAAAAGCGATCATCTCCATGCTGTAATTTCAGGGGCAAAATCGTATTTGTTCTCATATTTTATACGTAATTATAACCGTACACGTAACTAGAATTGTGCCGAATATCAGGTTCTACTCATTCTGGAACATTGACGAGAATGTGCGCTGCTCATTCACTCAGTCCTGCATTTGTACAATTGGTAAATCCACAAGCACTTGTAATCACCGCAACAACAACAAACATCAGAGGCGAGTCCCAAATTGGCTCAAACTTATCCAGCACCGAAGCATGGTGGCCACGACTCACTCCGCCATCCAACCTCGCCGGCGCTGTCCCCAACCCCCCTCCTAGGGCCAAATGTCGTGAGCACTGCTGAGACTCGGGTTACCCGTGGAGGGCTTCAGGGAGGGAGGGAGAGAGGGCGAGAGAGTGGGAGGGATCGTGAAGGGTGAGGTGGGGAGAGGTTTGTAGCGACAGAAAGAATCGATATCAGCAGGCGAGAGAGAGAGAGAGACGCAAGGCAGGCAGGCAGGCAGCCTGCATGCGGGTTGACATCACTGCGAGAGTGGATGCCACAATGGCACCTCGAAACAAAAGGCTTCGCCGGCCTGCGCCGTTACATCAACGCCATCCTTAATCGGGTTGCATTTTTATTTTGCGGCAACAAGGACATGCGAACCGTTGTGTTGTGCCCAGAGTGAAGGCTTTATATTTTTGTTTTATAACGCGGGCCACTGTTAAATGTTTATTTATTTATTTAACAATAACTATTACTCTATGACAGCTCGCCTCTTGATTTGGACGAAAGGCGGCGTGGTCGACAAGTTGACTGCAGCCCCACGACGTGGTAAGTGTGGCATCTTGCTCACTGCTCGTTCCACACAATGTTTGCTTCGTACAGTACACTTGTTGTGGCCTTAATGGGATTATAAATACAGTCTTTCCTTCGATAAGGGTCATAGACATTGAAGCCTCCTTTTTAGGGACTGCTCTGTGCGATCTGTACATCTGTCACGTGCTGGTCTGTCTCTTTATCCATCGGTCGTGGCTCAAAATTAATGAATGCAATGACAGTGAAACGATGATGCATCTGGCAATGAGGCAGTATACGCGCGTGGATAGTGATACGAATCCGATCATGTAATGAAATGTTTTAATTTGATTACATTCATGTTTTTAATTTGAAACCCCAAAAAGACTTAATTATGAATGTATGAAGCAACATATGTCAGTCACGTGGCATGTTTTACAACATATCACCCTTCATTCCTTAAATATAAGTTCCTTGTTCAGCTGCTCAAACACAAATACGATTAAGGAAAAAAAACTCAATTAGTTTTGAGATAATCGCACGTGCAATGTGTGTTTTAACTGCTGTTAAATTTTTTGTTACTCGTAAAAATGCACACGCTTAATCATTCGGCAGGGTGAGCGATGCTGCAATAGCTAACTATTCCTGGGTACCACCCCACACTTCACTGCAAGTCTTCCTCTGACCAGCATATTGAAATATGGTCAAACAAACATCCATAACCGACAGAGGATTGATTGACATAGGGCTGTAAATGTCAATCACTTGGCATTTCTAGATTGATTTGAAGCTTTCGTGACTGCAGGAATCCATACTCTCTGGTTCTTTCGGTAAAATCACGTAGGTAGACAAAATAATAAAGGAACACGACGTTTCGGTCGCAACACAAGCGTCCGCCATCAGGTGAGAAAGCATGATCTGCTATTGTGGCTTTATATAGGCAGCCACGACTCAAGCTCATGGACAAACTAATTTCTCCAGCCCCCACCTGTCCCTGCACGCCACAAACCATCCCCCTCCTCCCCGTGAACTCCTGCAGCCACGACTCTACCCCCCCCCTCCCCGTGCCTATATAAAGCCATAATAACAGATCATTATTTCTCACCTGATGACGGACGCTTGTGTTGCGACCGAAAAGTCGTGTTCCTTTATTATTTTTGTTCAATCTACGTGGCTTTACCGAAGGAACCAGAGAGTATGTCTAGCTTGTTTAGGTCAGCTTGTCTTGCGCTAGTATTGATTCCAGTGTCTCAGTGCTCCCGGTCACTGTGGTTTCGAATTTAACGTTTGAATCTCACCCTTGCTGTACCTTGTGTGTGTGGCTTCCAGGCTGTGCACCCACCCGCGTTAATAAATAACAAACACCTGCATGTAACCTTAATGGGAAGGTTATTTATTCTGCTGAATTACGTGCCTTCAAGACATTACTCTAAATAGGTACTTTCAATGTGAACTTGGGTTGACCTTGTGTAATATTTTTAATTGATTAACAAATGAAAACCTTTATTCATATCCCAACGAAGAGCCCTCTGACATGAGACATCTCTTATAAAGTAGGCCTTAAAGACATTCAGTGAATGGACAACTGCATTATTGGTCTTATATTCCTGGCCATGGCTCGCGTCACTGGTGAGTGACATCTGAACTGGTCATAGCCCACCCTCCACCCTTTCATCAACTTCCCCTGACCAGTGTGGATGAATATGGTCAAATTACCCCAACGACAGATACAGCATGGGGAGGCCTTAATTGACACAGGGCTGCATGTACATCGTGATGAAACAAATCTATTTCACGGTGTATTCATTCGTTTCGATGTGATATTGTAATAGTAGGAATACAGCCATAGGAGGCTAGTTAGGATTGCATTAGGCAGCGTGATACCACCCAGCTGGAACCTGAGCCAATGTCCGCGTGTACAGTGGCAGCAACCCTCGCGCGTGTATTCGCGATGCTTTCTCTCTCGTGTCTGCCGCGTGCACCGGCGATGTCTGGGAAGAACCACGCAGCGCGTGCTTTGTTTTGCCGAAACGAAGCGTGAAGGCTAAAACGCACGGACAGACAGATAATCTTACGCCCCCACAAAAGCCGTTGTGGTGTGGTGGGGAGGGGGATTTCGCGTAACGGTTGGCCGGACGGGGCTACCCATGTGCACGCATACTCATTGTGTGCCTACATGTGCCGAATGGTCTCCGGGCGTAAGATTGCATCGCTGAGATAAACCACGAATTGTAAACTGCGGGGATTTGTAGCCGTTCGTTTGGGTTCTTTTTAAAGCTTCGTTTTTTCAGCACAAGTGCTGGCAATTTCAAAGGCAGTTCAGCAGATTGCACTTCCCAATCATCTGCAGTAACTGCAGATCTATCGCTGAGTGTTACCGTACATGTTCATACCTGCCAACCACTTATCGGTGCCTACCGATAAGTGGTTGGCAGACCTTATTGGTCACCCCGTGGCCTTATACATCTCAACGTTCATCCTACAAAGTCCCATCACAAGGGAGAAACACAAACAAATAAAATCACCACGACTACACTCGCCACTAGTACATTCACCACTAGTACACTCACAACTAGTACACTCACCACTACACTCACCACGACATACCTGTCAACCTCTTATCAGTGCCTCACCTTATTACAGACCAATTCAGACCTCATTGGTCACCCCGTGCCCCTTATAAATCTCAACGTTCATCCTACAAAGTCCCATCACAAGGGAGAAACACAAACAAATAGACAAAACACATTTTGTGCCCGTATTGAAACGGCTGTACGACGTATGGACTTGAAAACTTAATTTCCCTGCACAAGAATACGGGTAAACCATATGGGTCGACAGGTATGCATGTTTGTTTCCTGCCTAAACGTCGGTGCTCTCTAATATGTGAATGTAGCATGAGTGATTTTGAGGGCCCAATTTATTTGTGAATGTAAGCTCCATTTTCTGCCAATTTTCTGAGAATGCCAAAATTGCAGAAATGTGTGAAAATTGGGACCCTTAGATTGCCATATATCTGCCGATAGTGTCTCTCTTGTCAACAGATGTACGAATTCTCCTCGAACTATGGTGTTATGGTGCTGTCTGACAAACCACTTTATTTCTTTATGGTTTCTTAGGTTTTCTTTCCAAGCCTTTAAATTGCACATCCGGTATCCCCCCCGCCCCCCTCTTTTTAAATATATTTAATAGAGTTGCTGACTTTCATTTCTTAAGGAAGGTCATAGTGGAATGAAATTTAATTGAAAGTGTTTGAGGAACAATATGTCAGCCTAATAATAATTTATTTTAATAACAAAAATATGCAAACTGGTTTGTTTCTTACAGAAATGGCTACAGAGGTTATTCAAGAAGATGACTTGGCTGCCCACATAACACAGGTAACCTTCCTCTATTTAACACCTTTGCACAAGGCACTTAACGTAGTTTAGAAAACGGTAACAACAGAATAACTTACATGGCAAGGGGTTACTCAAGCTGAGGAATGAGTGACCGCGATCGAGGGGTAACTTAGGGGTCACACAAGGGTATGGGAGGGGTAACTTAGGGGTCACACAAGGGTATGGGAGGGACGGGAAGGAGTGGAGGGGCGAGAGAAGAGCAAGAGAATGGGCACTAGAGAAGAGGTGGAGCTTTAGGAAGGGAACGGAAGGAGGTTCAGGATGGGGACTGCTTAATGTACAGGGGCAGTGTTGAGTCTATGGGCAGTGTTAAGTCTATGGGCAGTGCTGAGTCTATGGGCAGTGCTGAATCTATGGGCAGTGTTGAGTCTATGGGCAGTGCTGAGTCTATGGGCAGTGCTGAGTCTGTGGGCAGTGAGTCTATGGGCAGTGTTGAGTCTATCGGCAGTGTTGAGTCTATGGGCAGTGCTGAGTCAATGGGCAGTGTTGAGTCTATGGGCAGTGCTGAGTCTATGGGCAGTGCTGAGTCTATGGGCAGTGCTGAGTCTATGGGCAGTGTTGAGTCTATGGGCAGTGCTGAGTCAATGGGCAGTGTTGAGTCTATGGTGCAGTGCTGAGACTATGGGCAGTGCTGAGTCTATGGGCAGTGCTGACTGCTGAGTCTATGGGCAGTGCTGAGTCTATGGGCAGTGCAGAGTCTATGGGCAGTGCTGCTCAATGTACAGGGGAAGTTGATTCCAGTGGAGGGGTGCAAGGAGGGGGAGAAGGGCCGGAAACGAAATTGGCACAGGGAGTAGAAGGTACAGAGAGAGGGCAGACACGTGTTGGGACGAAGAGGACTTGGGAGGGGACATGGAAGGAGATGAGAGAGGGGAGATGATGTGAGGCAAGGTCAAGTGTTTGTAAAAATCAACATGTGAAAGTAACATTAAGCTGAGAGTGACGAGATAAATAAGCAGACAGTCCAGCTCCTTGGACATATTTGTCTCTCTACATGAAAGAATAAAGGTATTTTACAATAACATTGCATGGCCTCCTGGGAGGGTGGATGAGCGCCTTCATCCAGCTGTGCATTTTAACAAATGTCTATGAATTATTTTGGACATACTCTATTGACCGAATCTCTGTTCAGACAGAGCTCTTCGAATAACAGAATAAATAGTAAGTTAACTGTTTGATTTAAACGAGTATGTTCAGAGACATTTTGAACCTCCCACTCTGCAAACATTTAGACTGCCACTGGTATGTACACAACGTTTCAAAGAGGGCATTTCCTCAATCAGTTTCTTTTACTTTGGTCACGTGAGAGCCCATAAAAGCAGTGGATCTACGTCGGTTAAAGTGCAGTCGCTTGATCTGCTGCTCGCGTAGAATCAGAGCTCCAAATGCAAAATGCACAAGGGAAGTGGCGTAGCAGCACAGGGGGTCGAGCACATTTTGGTCTACGCACCCAATTCTACCGAAGTTCGATTCTCGGCTGTGGTTAGCGTGAGTGGAGAGTGATGCCCGAATCGGTCCTGAACGCACCCCCTTCATCAGCCTGCGCTGACGAGCGTGGTGAAGTGTAGCACGGAGTTACCTTCACCCCCAAGTGGTTTGACGAAAGGCTGTCAATTGTCGTTCTGTTTTATTTATTTTATTTACATGTGTACAGACGTTACCCCGGATGGCTAGACAGTGAAGACACTTCACACGTGACTCTGCAGCAACTCTTCACTCATATTGGCACCACCTGTGCCTGGTATTCAGAGGGAGGAGGAAAAAACAAACCCTTATATAAGACTCCGTCACTGCCCAAATGAAATGCAGCTACAGGCATCGCACGAAGTTAATCGATAAATCCTGACGGCAAAGGTTTCAGTTACCAAACAAGGTTACTGCACAATATTCGATGAAGTTACCTCTTCTACCTGGGTATCCCTTCCAAGACATCTGGTCAATGTGGAAGAGTGGACCAAATGCCCTGTTAGAAGTTCGCTTGAGTGGATGTACTTTCCGCCAGCAGTGGCGTGAGCAAGCACTTGTAGGGCTGCGCCTTTACCTGGGAATTGCATCCGACCAAATCACCCGCAATGAGGCTGATCTCGTGAGATCTCGGAAGCCAAGCAGGCTTGAGCCTGTATAATGCTCGAATGGGTTCCACAATGCCTAACAGGGGTTTTAGGCTGTGGGTTTATGTTGTGGGCAGCAGAGGGAAGTTTCAGCTAGATCAGTTTTTGCACTCTACTTCTATGCTCCCACTTCTTTATTTGCCACCGTCACCAACCCATGCTGGCCGGCAATGGTAAAATCATGGTCAAACATCCCCCACAAACCCGCAACGGGCATGGGTAGGGCCTTCTTCATCCCGGCAGCGGATTGACCAGCGGCTGGCTGTGCCTGGGCTTCATGTAGAAGGAGGCTCGCGGCCACGCGTCGGCAGCGAATTCTCTGCGGGTGTCACGGAACGGCCCCGCGTGGCTCGTTCCGTTGAGAGCGAGGAGTGGCGTCGGGAGTGGACGTGTCTGAGCAGGTCCTACAGTGCGGGGGGGGGGGGGTAAAGGCTTTGGGGAGGGAGTCGTGTGTCGTGCAGTCGCTAAACGTGGCGTCCTACTGGAAATCTGTGAAAAAGAGCTTCATGGCTCATCGGATTCCTCCAGCCCGAATCAAGATTGTGATTGTGACTCTGAAGGGAAAAGAGAGGCACGCGATGGGTCACCGCCACGTCGCTTCTTTAAGCCGCTTGCTTGGCCCGACGGACGTGTCCAGAAGCTTCAGTGATTGTGCCAAACTGTCTCATGGAAACAATTCACAATCTCTAAATGACGAGGAAAAACCCACGTCACGTGGACACATCAATAGAAACCTGTTATCTCGCGAGAAAGGCTATCGCAACGGAAACGTTGACAGATTTAAAATAATCATTCCCATTGGTCAAGCTGATGGGCCCTCGAAGTGACATCATCAGTACCAGCAGCAGTCGTGGTCTATCCACTGCTGGTTGAAGGTGTCCCAAAGTCGTTACCATCCTTGGTCTCGTGATGCAGAAATGTGTTTGGCTCTTGCGTGTGAGCTGAAATAGCCACATGCCGTGCGTAGTATAGCCATGCAAATTATTAACCCACTGACTTGCACTGATTCGATGTTGCCATTTGATTTAAGGATCACATTTTTTCGTCTTATTTTTACTGCCTCGTTTTCATTATCTTTAAAACATTTTTTACAACGTTGCACACTCCATTTGCCTAAATGTAACAATAGTATGTCTTTAATGAAATTAACATGAATCTTAAATGGCCGATTCTCACGTGCGTGATTCGATGCATTTATCGTGAGTGAAAGAATCAATGTTTTTGTTTTTACGAAACAATGCCATAACATACCGAGCGTTCGATACATACAGACCCAGCCTTAGGGGTGGGCCATCAGATTCGTTAAGCTGGCTGCAAAGCTCTTCAGGAGGGTGCTGAATATGCACGAGTGTTGCTGACAATGTGAATACAGGGGAAGGAAGGGGGCTCACAAACCCGTGATCGATTGGCGATCGAATCTTCAGCAACCTCCTTGTCTGTGGATCAAGTCTTTTAGATCCTGTCTTAAAAGATATTTGTTTCCGCTCGCATACCACCTTTCTCTGTATAGGTTGTGTGACTTTAATATAAAACACTTTTTTTAGCTAAGGGATTGTTCAGCGTCTGGTTATTGAATGTAAAGCACTCTGAGGCATTGTGTGAACGGTGCTGTTTCTAACATTGGAGTTTTAGTTGGTTAGAAACACAGAAGCAGCGCCTGCTAGGAGTGCTACATTGTTTCCGACTGGGTCCTGAGCATGCGACACGGTACTGCGCCGTGTGGCAGTGTGGGTGAAAGTAATTTAAACAAATAGTTTCAGTTTCATTTGTTTTATTTTGGTATAGCCCTGTGAGCCATTCGGCCCTTGAATCGGGTGCAACCACACCAAACAAAAAAAACACAAACAAGAAAAATGCCGTTGCCGTAGCTTTATAACTGCGTAGAAACTCATGGATTCCACATCACGCTCGTGCCGATGACCCCGATATTATTACGGTGGTTGCCTTGCGTGGCTCGTCTCGAGAGAGACGGGGAGAGAGAGGACGTCGTTTTAATAATGGGACATCTCCTGTTCACAAGCGGAGACCTCGGGGGGTGGGTGTGGGGTGCTCTTCACGTAACCACTCGGGAGACGCTCGTCTCGAAAAATAAACGTGTAGTGTCTTGCGCAAAAGATAAAAGTGTGGTTTTGTTTGTTGGCTGCTATTTAAATCACACTCCCCGTCCGTTCGGTCTATGCTGATGATGCCACAGTTTGTATCTTCGAAGGAGCTCAACAAATTGGTGGTATAGAAGATGAGTGATGCACAGCCTTGTTGCACGCTGTCCCCAAAGTCATGGTGAGCAAGGCATCGTGATTCGCGTATTGTTGACATTATAAACAACCACTTGTTGGCCTGTGCAGAATTAAATCGTGCATATACAGGTACTGTAGTGTATATCCATGCCATACATTTTGTTTATCAAGCCATTTGGTGACGCTGCTGCTGCTCCTCCTGCGTTAGCAGTGGTGCTAACGTGCTCACAATTCAAGTGGATTTGTGTGTGCATTAGAATTGTGCAACGTATTTACGATTCGTGCTAAATAATTTCCAATTACATTTAGGCGAATGGAGCAAACACGACTGTACGCACAAGATGAAACAATCGAAAGCAAAACAAAAGCATCGTAATTTTTTTTGTTATGTTTCAATCGAATCGTCACCACGAATCGCGACAATTCATTGAATGCCATCTCCCCAGATCGGGCCGCTGGGATTTTGGCACACAGCGTTGGTGTACGGTGCTATTTCAGGAATATTTAGATGTGTTTTTCCTGGATTTTCTGTTTGCACATGCACAAAGTCACTTTAAGATGTTTTCTTGTTCATGTTTTTGTTTTTTTGTTTGTTGCGGTTGCACCCGATTCAAGAGCCGAATGGCTCACA